CCCAACGCGCACCCAACACGGCACCCAACGCGCACCCAACGCGGCACCCAACGCGCACCCAACGCGGCACCCAGCGCGCACCCAACACGGCACCAAACGCGGCACCCAAAGCGGTACCCAACGCGCACCCAACACGGCACCCAACGCGGCACCCAGCGCGCACCCTACGCGGCACTCAGCGCGCACCCAACGCGGCACCCAGCGCGCACCCAACGCGGCACCCAACGCGCACCCAACACGGCACCCAACGCGCACCCAACGCGGCACCCAACGCGCACCCAACGCGGCACCCAGCGCGCACCCAACACGGCACCAAACGCGGCACCCAAAGCGGTACCCAACGCGCACCCAACACGGCACCCAACGCGGCACCCAGCGCGCACCCTACGCGGCACTCAGCGCGCACCCAACGCGGCACCCAACGCGCACCCAAAGCGGCACCCAACGCTGCCACCATGCCTGAATAAAGGAAAAATGGTCCGGCAATGAAAGATAATGTATTAGGTCAATAACATTTATAATTAGATAATTCAGGACCTGAGTGCTTTTTCGTATCTTCGTGCGCCTCCTTATTGCTCCAGTTACGGTACCCTGCTTCATTGTCATAAAAGGTAGAAATGCAATAACTTTATTTATGCCTCAGACGCGTTCATTAATAAATGCGGTAACTGAACAATTTTAAGATGTGTAAACTTCAGACTTACGTTTAATTTGATCGTTACAAAAAAAAAAAAACAATTGGGATCCTATTAAGTTTAATAACACATTTTCTATGAAAAATTATAAGCGGAGGAAGAAAATAAAATACTCCACGGAATTTAGAGCTTGCTTTTCAGTTCGTGCTCATAGAGCAGAACTGTAATTTAGCAGGAGTTTTTAGAACCCGAAGCAGTGGAGTTTGACTCACTTTTGGCTGTGGGGATTTCGCTGCCCTTTTACGAAACTCGATTTTCAAATTTGGTAAAATTTAAGCTTTCAATTTGGAAATGATGTCTAGATTGTGCATCAAAATAATCCAGAATAAAATAATTATTTTATCATACTTTTTATCCTGTTCCTGATCTGAAATTAATATTAGTTAAAACTCCACTAAATTTTTTGTAGTATTAAATAAGTTTGAATTAGAGATCATCTGTCGCCCAAGTAAGATCACAAAATGTCTGCTGAGAATTGGCATTTAAATATATGTTATTAATTATTGATAGGATCCAAATCATATAGTAAAGGCTTTTCATAGATTGTGTTTTGAGGAATCTTGAAAGAAGCAAAAAATATTCAATCGCTAACGAAATTTTGAAAATTCGAACATGGATGCCTCGTGAATAATTTTTTTAGCTCTCCTGTTTTGATAACTTGTCATGTTTGCTCGAATTTATGGAAAAGAATCCATGCATATAGCTAGAATCTTCATAAAAGAAAAATTTAATTTTCCAATGAAATTCAAGTTTCAGAAAGTGATTTCTTATACACTTGTGAAAATTCAGTAATCATTGGAACACTAGTAGGTAACAGAGAAGTGCGAGAATCAAAGTCATAAATTGATGAACGATATTTCGAGCTCCATTCAATAAATGAATAAAGGAATAAATAATCCGTCAGTGGCTCCAGAATTTAACGTATGATTGTAAAGTGGAATCTTTACCATTAAAAAGAAGGAAAAATAAAACGAAATAAAAGAACAGAACTGAGTCAGTTCCAAAATTCAGTCAGTGTTTCGGAGACTTTATGCAAATACAAAGAAAAACATAAATTTAAAACTAGAGAAATAAGCAAACTAATCAAAACAAAACAATAGCACGGATTACATGAGATAAATAAATAAACAATATAATAGTGAGAATATTCCTCATCACTAAAAACATATCTGAACGACATTGTATGAATAACATACAAATAAATACGCTTAATTAAATCACGTACCTCTGTGGTGGAATAGCATTTCAGAATGAAAGAGTAAAATGGATTCATCCGCGAGGTCACGTCATGTGGTGACTAAAAACCTAAACGAGAAATAAATAATCTAATATTCAATAAAGTATTACATCCCCTGGAATTATATATAGTCTCCGCCAAAATACTTCTCCAAGTGTACTTTGAATGCATAGCTTAAGTTTGACTTGACGATGCCGTGAGCGTTACCTTAAATATCACGTTGGAATCCACTATTGTTTTGCAACCCTATGCTGTAAACTTTAATTCCATTATTAATTCCAAATTCTCAAAGATTTCTCTAGATGTGCAATAAAAATTATCGCAAATATAATAGATACGAGCAAAACTTTTCCGAGCGTCAATTTAAGAGAAAGCCATGAATTGCATTAAAATCGAGGCAAAACTCCAGGTCATCAAATCATCGCGGCAGTTAGCAGCAGGACCTGAAGTTGGCAATAAACAGCGACGTACGCCACGGAGCACGTTAATCCCTCCAGGGCTCCCTTTAATTTATTCAAGACGCTGACGTTATATCCTTATTTTATTCAGAAACAATTTGGCCATTTCGAAGGTCAAGCCTTTATTGCCTGAGGTCTTTTTGCTATGCAAATCTCGGAGCGGCCTACGCAGTAACGGGTAACTGAAGAAATAACGATGGCCTGACAAGTCGTGCCTGCGTAACGGAATAAGGCGCGCTACGTATGCTGGCTGGTGGACGCCTGTCATGCATAATAATGTAGTGAATAAGATGTGGTGAACATTTGTAAGTAGTGAATAAGAGTGGTGAACTGTTATTGAACATCTGCATTTAAACATCTGCAGTTTAAAGATTCGACTAGAATTTTTTAAAATGTCGCGATATATTTCAGTTGAGCGTATCGAAAACATGCATGAATAAATTGTAATCTCGATACTAAAATTGATAAACCATAAGTGTCCCGCATTTCTCATAAACGTTTTGGGAACGTTATAGATATATTTGTGTGTGAATGTACTGAGATTTAATTAAAAATTCAGCAAAATGATGCTAATAAATGCTGATTATCGTAAGCTGGATTGTATATGGATTATTAAACGTGCTATTCGTACTATAACGTAGTACGTTACTATAGTACTAAAAAGTAGTACGTTATAGTAAACGTACTATATTGCTAATCTTTCTGCGAGATTATGTTACCCCAAAGCTACAAACTGTCCAACAATCTTGAACGATAAAACTCGATCGTGCTTCTGAATTTTAGCATGTGATGGATTTCGAATATCTGTTGTCCGGAGCACCAGCATTAGCTACGCTATTTGGCACCAGGGCTCTTATATGAAACATTTCTTTTGGATGAATTTCATGCAGCTATCCTGTAAACGTGACCTCTTTAATTTAATGAGTTCCAATCTATTTTAAAATACATTAACTCCTGGACACATCCAAAATCATCTCCTTTTAGTAGTTTTGAACGCTTCTATTTGATGATTAGCTAACGTAATTTTTTCTATGAAACGGTCTGCTTGATCAACGAGCTCGAGGATGCTTTTAATTACAGTCTTTTTCCCGGAGTAACGGGACCTCATTTATTTTTTATTTGGAATATTAATTAGTTTTGGTGCGACAGTTCTTCGTGAGGCTCGACGCACGAACGGTTACCGCATTGAAGCGATCCGGGATTTCATTCTTATAGGGCTAAGGAGTTGAAGGAATACCTTAGCGTAGCGACGGTGGATGACTTAAAAGTTAAATTATATCCTGGAATGTTTGTGTTGTCATATATGTATGATTAGAGCAAATATTGAATGGATGATTCATACCTATACTTCTGAATACTGATGTGGATTATTATATTTATAAACTGAGAGCAGTTGAGAAAATGGCAACTGTCTGTGATTAGGATGCCCTCTAAGATCGCGTGTTATTTCCTCATACGTTCTATTGGGTGGCTCGAGAACACACAGGACAATTTTGACTAATTTTCACCGCTGTGCAGGATGAAAGGTGCTGTTCTCACTGTGAGTATATTTACAATTGCTAGAAGCCACTCTACATATTTTGAGTTCGCATTTTCTACCAATGTTCTCATAATAAATACAGGGTGTTTCAGAATTAAGTAACCCTTTTAATTTGTTAATAAATAAAAAACTAAGAACGTTATGAAGTTGAAACTTGTTTTATTTAAAAGAAGAACATTTTTATGGTAATATTGTATCCTAGTTTTTAAATATAATATCTTTTAAAT